CTGTGACTGCAATTCAATTACTCACTATCTACACACACATTATTCATTATTCTGTCACGTTGTCACCTTCTTTTATATACCAGACTACCCTATATCTAGTAAATACTAGAGCATTCGCCAAGGTACAGGATAGTCCTAGAAACGTGGCGTCACAGTAGTCATGTGACTCGCTGACGTAACAATACTGACAGTTTTATGAGTGGATGAATTGCGAATCACGAATCATAAGATTCACAGTACGAGCATGATAACTGCTAGGCCATGCCCAGCTCCTTTTACAAATAGAATGTTTTACATTGTCATGAGATCATTCGGATATTGTTAAGAATATTTTATAGTGCTATTATACCTCAATGTGTTTTATACTGTAGGAAAACATGCTTAGAAATCCGATGTTAAAAAAAAATGTGTTTAAATTTGATGAGAGGACTCGCTTTTTAGAAAATAATGTTTGGAGACGGCTTGAATGGGCAGTGAAAGAAATTATATTGCAAATATACAATGTTTCGACAAACTGATGTCATCGTCAGATATATTTCTAATAAAGTTTCTTTCATTACCCATTCCAGCCGTCTCCAAACTTTATTTTATTAGAAAAATGGGATTTTTTTTCCGTAACAGTCTAGAAAGAATTTATGGTCATGGGAGTGGTCGAGACGCCGTTTATGTTATTAATTATTTGAACACAAGAGCAAGATTTAGGTAAACCATATATATAATAGCCCCATCTGTTGAACTGTATACAAAATAAACAACATGCGATAATTTTAAAATTCACAAAAAAAGTCTACGGCACTACAATTCTAGATCAACCAAAAACGTTTTCTCTTGGTTGTATGGGATAAATGTTTAAAATAAATGTTTTGGTATTTCTGAAATCAAATATTCGTAAGATGGTTAGTATTTTGTAAGCTATCGCTGTACATAAACTGATATAATTACAAAAGAAAGTGGGCTGAAATTTCTGAGTTTTCGTTAAAATGAGTTATTGGCCTGAACGATTGATCCGTGCTAAGAAATGCTATAGAAACAAACGTTTGTAATTTTAAAAAGTTCTGTGTGAAATTTCATTTTTGATAAATCATTTATAAGAATTCATATATTGTGACGTTTTTTTTTGTTTTGTTCCTGGTAAAGCACAAGGCTGAACAATGGGATATCATTGCTGTGCCCGCCGTGGAACCGAATTTTAGCATTATTAGCTTTCAAGCTTATTGTTGAGACACTGGGGGACATTTCAATGGAAAACGTCTGAAATAGCAAGGCACGATCTATTGATTTGTAGTTGATGTGATGATACATTACAATATGACTTACAATATATTTTTTCAGAAACTGAATAAGTTTATGCGATTAAGACTATTATTAGCCTTAATGTAATGTAAACTCGCTCCACTTATAAATCAACAGACCACGTTTCGGCAACATCGGCGTTATACATCATAATATACAAAATTATTATTTAGTTTAAAACCTAAAACGGATATTCTCTTGTCAGGAATAATTATTATAGACACAAATACAATTTTATAATTTGTTATTGGTTGTATTTTTAAAAGAAATATCCATTTTATAATTTTTTATAAAAATTTATAAAAATGTATTCTAGCTACAAAAATGTCGCATCATTAACTTTCTTCATTTATATCCTAAATCTTAGATGGCGCTAGTATTATATAGAATATGGCGGCTAGTTTGATAAAAGAGAGGACTCTAATATTTATTTTATTTAGTCTAAGCTTAACGAAATTAGTACTAGCCCATAGTGATCAACATGAAACAGAATTTTGCAACACTGAAGCTGAGGGAAAATGTTCTAAAACAAACACCGAACAGTTAGCTGAGATGAAATATCGGAAAGGTTAAATACTTTTTTAATTTAATGGATTTGAGTGATTTTGACTGAATTAGAATTTTTAAAAACGAGTGTCGAATATGGTTTACAGACTTAAGGTTTCTGCCATAAGTTAAAAACAGTAACATATATGAGGACTAAATCCGTTAGTGCTACATTGAATAGTCGGAAGAGATTAAACTTAAATATATAAATGAACCTTGCTTTTTTGTTGTTTGAAAATTAATTGCCATAGCGTAAGTTAACGAAAAATGTCACAACGTTGCTTCACGATAAGCCAAATGACATTAATGTAGGACGTTCAACATTTATAGAAATTACATAGCAGTATAATTACAAATATCACCCTGGTGTTGCTTGTATTTAATTACCAATTATTGGGCGCCGTGTATGAAAGACCTAAAACTAGGAGACATCTAGGGGTGTAGTGCTGCTGGAGCTTTGCTTTGATACCAAGTCCCAACACCTCCAAAACAAAAAGATATATGTAAAAAAATGATTAAATTTTACACCCGAAAATAAGTGTCTCTTTTTAACCAAGTGTTTAACCAAAGGTCAGTTTTTTTAGCTATTCATTTTGACAGGAGAGGAGTTATGCGAGGCATTCTAAAAATTGAGGTTGTTAATATTGTAGTGCAGTTAGAAAGATAGTAAATTAACAAGATATGCAACTTTAAAACTTGTTTTAATGTTAGTGATTTTTATTTGGTACACACTTGCTGCTTAGTTTAAAGGAAGTTCAGTTTGTTTTTTCCCACCATTATACACCTATTCAGTTTGGCTCTAACGTAAGTTGTCTCACATAGTGTTGAACTTATTTTCTTTATTTGGATTGGACTCAAAAAAATTGAACTTATTCTTTGAAATTTTTACCCTTATGGTGATGTTCAATTTTGGCAGGGTTCCGGTACTAGTAAATACAGTGATACACCACTGGTCCTACCATTTTACATTTTAATATTGTAAATTACATGCTGTGATGGTGATGTCTAGAATGTAGCATCTGTTTACAAAACCATTTAAGTATTTAGTATATGTTGATATAATCAATCTAAAGAAGAATATTTTAATCAGATATGTGTTTGTGTACAATATTTAATGAAAATAATTAAATTTATTATTTTATATAAAAATTAGAATATTTACTAACAAGTTAAGAATATTAAAGTGTACTCTGATTTTAAATCTTCTAAAATCTTTTACTTATGGGCATTAAACAAGCAGAAATCTCTGGACTTTAATACAATTTGTATAAAATATGACTTCATATGAAGTTACAGAATTAGTTTATGGATTAAATGTTATTTGAAATAGTGGTTTTTGTTGAGTGTTTTTTCACAACGGCTTTTTAGGTTTAGTAATTGTTTTGACTTTCCCGGGTTTTTTATATTATTCATGTTACTGGTTAAATGTGTTTTTGAAGTCACAAATATAATTTTTATTATTGCATTTCTTTGTATAATACTTAACCACAGTACTAAGAATCATATCTAAGTATCTTAATGAAGTATTACCACATGTGTAACGATCAAAGTTTACTATCTAGGCCTAGGATTTATTTCAAAACAAAAGTAACATAAAGTGTTGTTCGTTTAACATGTTTGAAGGTGTTAAAAGCTTCTGTGACTGAAGAAAATATAACTTGAATAGCATAAAGACTGACTGAACAGGTTTTATTTTTCAGAAGAAAACACCAGATGGAGCCACTATCTGGAGAAATTAGAACAGGCCCTTAAAGAATATGAGCCCTGCAATGCAACTGATTGCTCCTGTCATACAAGGTTTGTTTTATTTCACTTTAAAATCTCAAAATGTAACACAGTTCTACTATAATGGATGGTTGGGAATCTTTTTTTGGTGGAGCAACATGTTTTATTTTAATTTTCCTTCTGTGAATGGTAATTATTTGTTTTGTCCAAGTGAAGAACGTGCATCATATAACTCTTATCCACTTTTTTATCTTACAATGATATGATATATATGGCAAAAATAGAATTAAAAGTCAAAATACCTAGTATTGACTGACTTAAAATACCTAGTATTGACTGATTTAAAATACCTAGTATTAACTGATTTAAAATACCTAGTATTAACTGACTTAAAATACCTAGTATTGACTGACTTAAAATACATAGTATTGACTGACTTAAAATACATAGTATTAACTGACTTAAAATACCTAGTATTAACTGATTTAAAATACCTAGTATTAACTGACTTAAAATACCTAGTATTGACTGACTTAAAATACATAGTATTGACTGACTTAAAATACATAGTATTGACTGACTTAAAATACCTAGTATTAACTGACTTAAAATACCTAGTATTAACTGACTTAAAATACCTAGTATTAACTGACTTAAAATACCTAGTATTGACTGACTTAAAATACATAGTATTAACTGACTTAAAATACCTAGTATTAACTGATTTAAAATACATAGTATTGACTGACTTAAAATACATAGTATTAACTGATTTAAAATACCTAGTATTGACTGACTTAAAATACATAGTATTGACTGACTTAAAATACATAGTATTGACTGACTTAAAATACCTAGTATTAACTGACTTAAAATACATAGTATTGACTGACTTAAAATACATAGTATTAACTGATTTAAAATACATAGTATTAACTGACTTAAAATACCTAGTATTAACGGACTTAAAATACCTGGTATTAACTGATTTAAAATACCTAGTATTAACTGATGTAAAATACCTAGTATTTTGTCAGTTTATACAGTATGCAAGCTGTTTTTTTTTCTAAAGTACTCAACATTGCTACCAAGAGAGCAGTAAACTCATACATATTATACATGATGTATAACATTCGACAATAATAAAATCTTATTTTAATTTATACAAAACATTATTATTAATATTTAACTTTCCGATCCTACATTAGTTTGGTCTAGTATAATACATCAAGAACAGGTTCTCTCTACTGCTTGATAGTTTTCACTTTATTAAATCTACCAAAAATAAGTTAGTTTGTCTCTGCTAAAGATAACAGAAATTATTATATAACATACAAATGTGCAGATCTAAATTTTACTTCAGTGCATTTGTATGTTCAGGTTTTCATTTCTACATTCGATATTTGTTGAATAAGCTGTTAATTCTTCTGATTCAAGTCTTTTTACATTATGTGGTAAAAAATCAAATTAGAAACAGAATCCACAAGATTGTTTATCATCATACACGTGATAAGAAAGATGAAATAAATCTGTTAAATTTAAGAGTTAACTTGTAGCATTTCAAGTCTTATTTCACGCGGTGTAACAATTTGTAAATGTTAATGGTAAAGCGTTATATGATACGGTAACGATACAACATTATAAGATACAACAGTTCACTAATGCTCTCTGTACAGTGTAATCAGCAGAGATCTGGCACCTTGGAAGAAGAAGGGGATATCTCAGGCACTTATTCAGGCAGCAAAGGAACGAGGAACTCACTATCAGATAATAAACCACAAACTGTACAGGGACTCTGAATGCATGTTTCCTTTCAGGTGAGAACTTTGTAAACAGTTGTCTTAAAACAAGCTGGTTTCTATAAACATTTTAATATTTTTGCACATTTTATAAATTATATCAAAATGCTCAATTTAACTTAATATCAATGTATGTATGTTCATTTACTATATTGTAATCCCCGTCCCACCAAACATGCTCGCCCTTTCAGCTGTGGGGGCATTATAACGAGACGGTCAATTCCACTATTTGTTGGTAAAAGAGTAGCCCAAGAGTTGGCGGTGGGTGGTGGTGATGACTAGCTGCCTTCCCTCTAGTCTTACACTGCTAAATTCGGGAGACGGCTAACGCAGATAGCCATCGTGTAGTTTTGCGCGAAATTTAAAACAAACAAACTATATTGTATTTAACGATACAGATATTATGGAGTATAGCAACGGTAATGGGAAGAAATAAGTACTGAAAATAACTTATTAAATAAATGTAAAAATATATGAATAAATAAATAGAACTGAATAATCAGAATATAAATATTTGTTATTCATATAAAACATATATATATATATGTGACTTGAAGTTGAGATATAGGCAATTACATCATGCCGTGGCAGACAATGTTGAGAAATAGTGAATGACTGAAAAATTTATAAAACTACACTTTTACTGAAGTTACAGGGTTTTTAATTAGTTCTGTTTTGTTAAAAGTATGTCAACTTTCATCCTAGGAGGCAGTGAGTGTTCTATTGAACATTTACGAAAGTCACAGACACTAATGTATCATTCATTGAAATCAACCGTAAGCAAAATTGGCAATTCTTTTTACAAAATACATTTTTTCTCAGAAGTTTGTTTTTTAGATGTTTGGAAAAAATCCACAAGCCTATTTTCTGTATATTTTTTAATTCACCGGTTGAATTTTACTCTCAAGGTAAACTGCACCCATCCTGTCATGAAGGAGTTAAAAGGTAAGTTGTAAAATATTACAATTATTAAAGATGGTTTTGTAACTGGTATAAGGTAAGTTGTAAAATATTACAGTTACTAAAGATGGTTTTGTAACTGGTATAAGGTAAGTTGTAAAATATTACAGTTACTAAAGATGGTTTTGTAACTGGTATAAGGTAAGTTGTAAAATATTACAATTATTAAAGATGGTTTTGTAACTGGTATAAGGTAAGTTGTAAAATATTACAATTCCTTCATCTAAGTCATTGATGTAAATAAAAAAGATCAGCGGTCCTAAGACTGAGCCATCAGGTACCCCACATTAATCCAGTTTGATTGAACTCCATTTGTAACAACTCTGTGCTTTCTTCCATCTAGCCACTTTTCTATCCAAAGAGCCTTTCGTGCGTCACTTGTTATATGTTTTCTGAAAATCTACACCGTACCTCTCATCTACATAATCGGTAATCTTTTCAAAGAATGTCAAACATTAGGAAGACAAGATTTTTTCCTCGTTAAACCATGCTCATTATCCAACAACATTTTTCAAATTTATTAAATTACTTTATAAAGCATCTTTTATGAGACATTCAAAAACTTTTATCACCACTGATATAAGACTAATAAGCATTTAATTACTGGAACAATTTTTATCACTTCCTTCGAAAGAAGAGTAAAGTCAGAAAACTTCTAATCCTCTGGCATCTGACCACTATTCAAGTATTTAGAAAAAAATAGTAACAAGTGGTTCACATATTCAGTTCTTAACCTCCGTCAAACCCGTGGGAAATATGATGTGGCCCAGATTCCAACTTTTTCTTAACAAGCTCAGAATTAATGTGATCAGTTGTGTTCCATCTAGCAACTGTTCAGTTTGAAGAATACTGTTTAAATCTTCGATGAAGGAAACGTAGAATTTAATAACTCAACCATCTCACAATTTTCAGAAATTGGCCTTCCTATGTTGTCCTTTAAGGATCCAACTCTCAAATTAACATTGTACTTAACCTTAACGTATTTAAAGACATACTTACTGCTCATTTTTAGATGTTTTGGCCAACCTTAATTCATGTACTTTTTTTGATCTTCTACAACCCTCTAAGTCTTCTGTCATAGCAGTCAATAACTTTTTTGATCTTCTACAACCCTCTAAGTCTTCTGTCATAGCAGTCAATAACTTTTTTGATCTTCTACAACCCTCTAAGTCTTCTGTCATAGCAGTCAATTTACACTTCTTAAATTTATAATGTTTTTTCTTATTTTTTTATCCCTACTACCTTTGGTATAAGCCAACTTAGTCTTTTTACTTGCATCCATTTTTTTCTTTGTAAGGAACATGTCTATTTTAAATATTTAATTTTTTTCCACATTTGATCAGTGTCTGCAGTTCATTTAGTTGGAAAACTATTATAACATGTTAGATATGTCAGATTGTGTCACAGTAGAAATATACCTCTACATCAACTGATTTGGTCCAAGACGTCTAAGACGTTAATTTTAAAAATCCTATTCGAAAACTTGAGGCCTTGGAACACTGTACCTTATGCTAAATGTTGCTTTAACCATGCAACTTGAGGCCTTGGAACACTGTACCATATGCTAAATGTTGCTTTAACAATGCAACTTGAGGCCTTGGAACACTGTACCTTATGCTAAATGTTGCTTTAACAATGCAACTTGAGGCCTTGGAACACTGTACACTGTACCTTATGCTAAATGTTGCTTTAACAATGCAACTTGAGGCCTTGGAACACTGTACACTGTACCTTATGCTAAATGTTGCTTTAACAATGCAACTTGAGGCCTTGGAACACTGTACACTGTACCTTATGCTAAATGTTGCTTTAACAATGCAACTTGAGGCCTTGG